ACTTCGTCACTAACTTCAACGCCTGGTTCGGCCTGATCATCTTCATTTGCATGACAGTATACCTCAGTAAGTGCTGCATGTTGAAACGGAACCATGACAATGAGTCTGAAATTAAACTGCTGTGAAAAAGTACTGTATTTGCCCCCTAAATTTAATAACTGCTCCTGCCAGTTTTGGCTCACTCTTCGTGAGAATTGTTTTAATTCAGTCACGTTGGAATTTTATTTTTAGATTGGAACATGTGTTGATTTTTATCATGTTTGATTAAAAATCTGGTGAATGCTTAGGACAACTTTAATTAATAATGTCTTGTAGCTCTGACCATCATCATCACTGAGTGGAGAACCAAGTACAGACGGGACATGAATCTGCAGGACAACGCTGCCAAGTCCAAAGCCGTGGACTCTTTGTTGAACTTTGAAACGGTATCAAATGAATGCAGATATCGGTCGATTATGTTATAATTATGATACAAAACAAATGAAATAAATATTTCTATGTCTTAAAATCCACTGAGTCAAGTTTGTTCTTCTTTTGTCTTCATCATAGGTAAAATACTACAACGCAGAGAACTACGAGGTCGGCCGGTTTGAAGACGCCATCTTGAAGTATCAGGTATGTCCGAGGTTATGACCGCTTTTTCTAAGCAATGAAAATAGTTTCTTTGAAAAGTTTTGTTTTTTATTGACAGGAGTTAAAATAGTCTTGTTCTGTCCTGTCAAGATTGTTGTCAATGCTAATCTTCACAGCCTGTGGATGCAAACTTTAGTGGATTTTATTGGGATTTTATGTGATGGACACAAAGTAGTGCTTATTTATGGGTAAATGGAAAATAATACAGGATTTTTGTAAATTTTTTACAAACTTAAATCTGAAAAGTCTGCTGTCCATTTTAATTTATCTTCCCAGTGTTATCACGTCATTTTATTGCCTGCATAAGTTATGAGTTACCAGAAGCAGCTTTATTTGTCTAGGAAATGAGGGGAGGGCAGATTCTCTATTGGATGATGTCTCCAATAGAGACATCATCCATTTATTTATTTATTTTCTGCTTTGTGTTTATTAATCACAATAAAATGTGCAGTTGTAATGTTTTAATAGTGACACTAGAAACAAAAGCTTGTTATTTGAAGCTGCTGTGTTTTTAGAATTACACGACAAACTTAGACAATCCCACCTAGGATTCAAGAGAATGATTACGCATTCTCATAACATCGACTATATTAATCATGTCATATCTGCTCCTGTTTCAGGCTTCAGAGTGGAAGACTCAGGCGTCCCTCGCCTTACTCAATCAAACCCAGAACATCATCATCGGATCTGGACTGCTGGCCGGCTCTTTACTCTGTGCCTATTTTGTTACAGAGGGGAAATTTCAGGTCCCGAATCAGTTTATTCTCACCATATTTGGATGTATTTCTCTTCTGACTGTGACAATGGCAGCCTTCTGATTCTAGGTGGGAGATTTTGTTCTCTTCGGTACATACATCATCCAGCTTTACACCCCTCTCAACTGGTTTGGAACCTACTACAGGTAAAAATGAGGCTCTACTGGGCTTAGATATGTCCTTTTGAAAGTCTTGTAAATATACTTTTCCACCATTTTTTCCTGCAGAATGATCCAAAATTCCTTCATCGACATGGAAAGCATGTTCAAGCTGTTTGAGGAAGAAGAGGAGGTATGTTTGAAACTGCAGAGCATTTGGATCGGTGGTGTAGCGTTTCTTCTCAATGTGCTGCATGTTTTCTGCAGGTGAAAGACGAAGTCAATGCTGGAAATTTGCAATTTAAACTGGGAAGAGTGGAGTTTGACAGTGTCCACTTCAGCTACACCAATGGGTTTGTTCACATTTGCTTTCATTTTAGTGTAAAGTTGCGTACAAAAATGAAAAAGTACTAAAGGATTTTGATGATTTTTCCAGAAAGGAAATTCTCAGGGATGTGTCGTTCACCGTTCTTCCAGGACAGACTGTTGCACTGGTATGGTGAATTTAAATTGAGAGTTTATCATTATTAATATCTTTTATGTGCTCTCTTATAATCTTTTTTTTTTTTGCTCTCCTTTTAAGGTTGGACCATCAGGATCTGGGAAAAGTACCATCATTCGCCTGCTTTTCCGATTTTATAATGTTCAGGGAGGCTGCATTCGCGTTGATGGCCAGGATATCTCCAAAGTAAGAGTCCAGTCTGACATCAGAATTCTTCAAAATGTTGTCCTATTTTTAAGGGCAAATATAGTAAATTTCACAGCTTTTCGTCTCAGCTTTTGCATGAATAAAAGTGTCAATTTACTCTTGCAAATTCATACATTTGCACCAGCAAAACTCAAACTCAAATATGCAGAAAGTTTGAGTGAAAAGCACTGCTGAAAGCTGGCAAACAGCAGTAAAGTTCCGTATGTAAATCATTTGAATTTGTGGCCTGACACAGAGTCTGCGCTTTCATTCAACTTTAGTTCATGACTACACACTTCAGTTGCCATTGCCTTGTGTTTCCTCAGGTGAAGCAAAGATCTCTCCGGGCGCACATCGGAGTGGTTCCTCAGGATACGGTGCTTTTCAATGACACAATCAGGGAAAACATTCGCTACGGTCGCATCACTGCATCCGACCGCGAGGTGGAGGAGGCAGCCATAGCTGCAGACATACATGATAAAATCATGGCTTTCCCTGAAGGTAACCCGTTGAGCTTGCAAGTTACAATTCCTCCCCTTATTTTCTAGTTTTCTTTATGAGTAATTTGAAAAAATATATATTTTTGTATTGGCAGGCTATGACACTCAAGTGGGTGAGAGAGGTCTGAAGCTGAGTGGAGGTGAGAAGCAGAGGGTTGCTATAGCCAGAACAATCCTGAAGGCACCTCAGATCATCCTGCTGGATGAGGTATCAGAGCAAAGTTATGCTAAAGTAACTTTGAATAAAATAGCAGAAGAAGTCTGAAGTTTTATAACCGAGTCTCTCTTTAGGCAACATCTGCTCTGGACACTCAGACAGAGCGCAACATCCAGGCCTCTCTGGCCAAAGTCTGCACCAATCGCACAACCGTCGTCGTAGCGCACAGGTAAGAGGAAAAGGCAGAAATCAAGAGTTTGACTTGTATAGTTTTATGTCTGGATACAGATTGCGAAACCAAAAAGTATTGCCCCGGCTTTATTTGTCAAAACGTTCCATTCATCCATTCATTTTTCAAACAATCTAATTTTAGTTTTGCCACTAATCTACTCCCTTACTTTAAACCAAAAAAAAAATAAAAAAAATAGGCTGTCCACAATCATTGGAGCGGATCAGATCCTGGTGATCAGTGAGGGTCGGATCGCTGAACGAGGACGGTAGGTTTCTCCCCTCATCCTGTCGCTTAATGGGGAGCAAATATCCCTGAATCGGGTTTAAATGTCAACCCGCTCTCGTTCCAAGGCATGACGAATTGCTGTCCAAAGGAGGTCTATATGCTGACATGTGGCTGAAGCAGCAGCAGGCCCACGACTCGGATTCCTCCTCAGACACCGAAGCAAAAGATCGCAAGTCTGAGAAACTACAGCCGCCATCCACCTCTTCAGCCCATTAAGGGCATTCGATCTATTTATTGCGCGGGACAACAAATTGTGTTTTTGTATTCTACTTATCAGAGTTCATGCTTTATTTAAAAGTAACACTGAGCAATGTGGTTATGTTATTTATTTCAGGAAAGAGTCTGTGCAATGTCAGGTCAGGTAGAAAAGGGAAGGTGCCTTTAAAGAACTGAGGATATGACACTACTGTCAAATATATGAAAATACACACTCATGTTAAAGCTCTTACCATAGCTGATATGATTTTTATATCGAGATACCAGGGCCAAAGGTCAAAATATTAGCAAAAAAAAGAAAAAGAAAAACAGCACTTCTACTACTTGTCAGGTTTTTATTTGTCTTTTTGTTCTTATATTTTGCGTTTACTTTATGTTGTTTCTCTTCCCTTAACCCCGTCTAACAAGCCATCAATTTTTAACTCTAAAGATATTATAAGGGAATGAATAAAAAAAAATCAGCTTAATCAAGAAATTAATAACTCAGTGCGACTGCAATGAATGAGTATAGGGTGAAGTACAAGCTGTCAGAAATTTTCTTTTATATGTCAACATATAGAACGTTACTTGAGGTACAACTTTTTAAGTGTACAGTTCAATCAATTTAGCATAGTGGGATGTAATAATTTCTTTATTCTCATAATCGTTTACAGAAAAAGTCATGCATGACTTTACACACAAACACAACTATTAGTTCTCAGTATGTGAAATGGAAACATACACTTTGTGCTGATCCGTGTTTATTCAACTTTTTTGGGGTTTTTTTCTCCATCTTCCGACTTGTGTATCTGAAAATGTATACTTGGTTCTGTGAAAATTATTGAAGTGTTTGCCTTATTATAAACAATAAAAATCTATTTTTCACAAACTCCAGGCTCTAAATAAAAAACATAAATTTCCATTAGATTTAAATGAGAATGTATTACCTGAAATAATTACTGAAGGGTAAGGATTTTACGCTTTAAGGAAAAAAAACTGATGCTCTTCAAAGTTTATGGGTGTCGGCTGTTGAAATAGTTTCTGAACATCTCTTCATATCATGAAATCAAAAGTGTAAAAACTTAACTTTGATATTAAAATACATAAGCACAGAGGTCAGAAAGTATTTTGGTAAAAGTAGGTTCTATTTGATATTTTATATCTAATAGGGAGGAAAAATAATAAATGTGGAGAAAAAGAAATAGAACATGTATTGATAAATTGTAAAACATGAACCTGAAAGGAGAAACTGAGAAGAATGGTTTATTTATCATTATTTATTTATCGTCAGAATATAGTTTAAAAAATATTATTTAATAGACGTAAAGAAATGTTGCTTCACAGTCATGTACAGCAGGTGGCGGTATGCACCTTAAAGTTGCTTGCGATCCGCCATTATAGATGTGAAGAAGAAGAACGTAGTGTTTTGGTCCATTCTGGGTGTGCAGCGCCCCCTGCCGTCGATACGCTTCAATTTACCTGAAACGAAAGCAAACACAACACCAGGCGGTTGAGTCGTCACTGGCTCCCTTCTGTCAGGGCGTGTTTTCAAGCTAAGTTAAGCTTGGCAGGAAGGAGGCACCAGGCCGAGCAGACTTTATTTTTCCTCCAAATTTAACCTACTGATGTGTAATTTACAGTAACTATGGATTTCGACGCGTTATTTAACGAAGACACGTTTCAGTTTTCGGACTTCCAGGAGTTCACGGTAAGTCGATGAGCTCGAGTCATGCTAGCAGATGCTAAGCTCGTTAGCTTGTCAATGTAAGTGACAGGTAACGCGGACTGCCTTACATTGCAGGAGAAAAAAAATTGCAAAAATCGCTATTCAATAAGTTTGAACTCAAATTTAACTCTAATTATTGCTCAAAAATTAAAAACAACATGCTACAATCTTGTAACTGGTATTACTTGGTGGGTAATGGGTGTATGTTAGCTGTTAGCCTAGCACGCTAACTAGCATAAGAGTGGGTTGTGGTTAATTGTTACAGATGGTTTCCTCTCCACTGCTGCATTGTAAAAGGAGCACATATTTTCTAAATCATTAGCTTTGTGAGCTAATGTGGACTTCAAGCTGTTTTGTGCTTTTTAAGTGATGATTTTTGTCATTTTGCATTGACTAAAACGTTATAGCTCATGCTATTATTGCAGTTTATTCCTGGACACCAAAAACTGAGCGAGCGAGTGAGAAAAAGACTGTATTATGGCCTGGACAAAGATGTTTCACTAGATGCCCTTTCTTGCCCTGTTACAGGTGAGTGTTGACTTACATGAGGCTTGCTAAAGGGAAACTACATCTGGGTTATTTTCTAACTTTATTATAAAGTTTAGGTTTATTGTGTTGTGCTATTGTTTGCATTTGCACGTTGGATTATGTTATTAGTGGCCATTATATTGACTTTGTGCTTCCAGATATTGCTGTTGAAATTTTCCAAAAGTCTGCCCCCAGCCCAATCCGAAAGCTCCAGAAGAAGTATGCTGCTCATGTTGCAAGGTCAGTTCTTTCCATAATACCACTCGTTTCTAAGTATTGCAGCCTGTCATCGTTTTTGTACTGAAACACATTTCTGTCTTGGCTTAGGGAGGCTTGCATCTCTCCGTGTGCCATGATGCTGGCTTTGGTTTACATAGAAAGACTCCGACACAGAAACCCCGAGTACCTGCAAAAGATCTCCTCATCTGACCTTTTCCTGATCTCGATGGTATGCACTGCGAAAGGCTGGTGGGCGGGTGGGGTCATGTGTCGTTATAAATACGAAGTTGCATTATTAATAGCACGTGTGTGAATTTTAAGGCAATTCTAAACATTCTCTCTGATTGTTTTCCAGATGGTTGCCAGCAAATACCTCTATGATGAAGGTGAGGAAGAGGAGGTTTTCAATGACGAGTGGGGAGCAGCTGGGAAACTGGACGTCCAAACGATCAACAACCTGGAGATGAGTTTCTTGAATGCCATTGTAAGTGAGACTTCGTGTGTGTGTGAGTGTGTTCATGTTTTTCTGCTTGTATGATTTATCTTGACTGGCATTTTTATTCCTCAGGAGTGGAGCCTCTTCACAGAGCCAAAGGACTTCTTTGATATACTCTGCCACCTGGAAACAAGGTGTGTATATTTTAATCTTGAAATGTTCCATTTTTTATCATTCTCAGTAAGTAAAGTTAATATCAGCTTAGGTTATAATTTATTGTGAAATGTTTGAACGTTTACTTCTTGTTGAGCCATAAAGATTGCAGAACCGTGAATCAGCACAGTTTCTGGGGGTGGCTGTTTGCAGCATTGCAGAGAAGCAAGGAATGAGACGTGGCTGGTTCACCTACACTGACCTGTGTGTGCTGCTGGATCACTCCGCATGGAGTCACGCCCTCGCTGCCATCTACCAGCACTTTCTAAAGGTTAGAAACCTGTTTAGAAGGGAACAGGTTTTTACTGTCTTTGCTTTTAATGCAAAGAGAGTAAATTTATGTTTCCCATGTGTGTTTCTAGGTGTCCTGTATGCTCGGCCTGGTGTATCTGACTGGTGTAACCACTCTGATTGCGAGCAGTGCCGTTGTGCACCAGCTCAGTCTGTGCAGAGGCGATCAATCCGCGCTTCCTTTGCCAAACGAAATCGGCCTCCTCCAGACCCCCAGTCTCAGCCCAGAAGCAGCCACGCCGGCCCATCGCCCACCATGTTGTGTTCTGACTAATAAGTCTCTGAACGGTCAAACCACTTCGCTTGAAATCAGCCAGCAACATAGACAGAACGATTCCCCGTTGGGCTCTGCAAAAAACTCTGTTTTGTGTCTCTTTGGTTCTCTGCTGGCCTCTGTGAGTTGTGTGCATCCTGTCAAAAATCCCGACGCGGAATCTCCCCTAGCCCGGCCGTCTTCCTCCTTCGACTGTTCCGGCTGTCTTCCAAACCTTCCTCATCTTCAGTGTGTACTTCGAAACACCTCGGCACTCCCTCACCACAGTTCTGTCAAACCGGGTCCTCAGTCGGCGTGGCTTTCCTCCGGCCTGATGGGAGCCGCAGGATCAAGCCTGGACTCACACTTTGGGGCGTTTCCAACTGTAGATCTGTTGCCATGCCGATCTGAGGCTCTGCTCATGCCTGGCTAGAGAGGCGTCACCCGTCGTCACGCTGGAAACACCCCTGGAAACCATTAAAGCTTTAGTTGTCATGACTCACCACTGTCATGTTGTTACGAATGCAGACGCAAAGTGGCACTTTTATTTGTAGCGAGGCGCTCTGAAGGGCGACAAATCTGCTTTTTCATATTGGGATGAACAAGATTTCTTCTGAATGTCTTTTGAGTTATACATAATTTTAAAAAAAAAAAGGTGTCTGATCGGGGAATTTAGTGTATTTGTTTAAAGGTTTCTAAGCATATCTGCAAAAAGGTTTTCCAGCGAGCGCTTATTTTACTAGCTTTACAAGGAGGACGAATTTAACCAGCATAGGCTGTTTCCTAAGTTTTCACTTTGCTCATGCGCACTCTTTGTTTTGTTCTTCTAACAGTTTGGATCAGATTTTGGTCAAATTCGCTGCAAGCACTGATTTGTTTTGTTCATAGTAAGTGGTGGGAGGTCTCTTTCCTGCAGAGGAAAGTGTCAAAAAGTGGAAGTAGACTACTGAGTGGAAGCTTTATCTGCATATCCAAATGCACCTGTCACTTGTTTCATTGAGATTAAAGACATGCTGTTTTCTCTACAATATTTAGCATTTCTTTCTCTTATACACCATATTTCATGTTGGTAATAATCCCTGTTGAAGGTCAGTGTTGAAGAGTTGACCTCTGCAGGTTTATTGGCTCTGTGCCCAACACGTTAGAAAGCTAACTGAAGTGTTTTGTTTTTTCTTATGCAATCTGGAATTTGCACATTTTTCTGAAATACACCACTTGTTTTTATTATCTTATTTCCATTCAAACACAATAGAAGAAGAAAAAAATCATATTTTTATGTGCAATTAAGCAAGGAATGGGGGGAAAAATACATTCAAGGTTTGGATTTGATACATTTTGGAGCTGAAAAACATTTAATTTTTTAAATGGTGTAAAAAAAAAAAAGAATAAACCCATAATTAATAAATGCTTTTATTAAAAGTGTTTTTTTCCTTTGTTTGCATTTATCTGAAGTTGAACTCTTGTTATTTCTTGTTTATTACATTAAAGCAGTGTATTTGTAGTGACTTAAAGTTGTCAACAGAGCTGATGAGGTGAGTAACCTGAGTCCTACTGCTGCAGTAAGGCAGAGGATCTATGATACTGTGGGCTTGATTCTCTTCCTGGGAACCTTGAGACGGTGCCAGAAGATGTAAAGTTAATCGGTGCAATCTCAATTGTGGTTTACACAATTTTATGTAATAAATGCTCTCAAATTACACAGGTTCACTAGGAGAGACAATGGGAGTAGAAGGACACAATGTCCTGAAGGACAAGAAAGCAGATGTCTAGATTTGGGATAAACCAGACGGTCCCTCCCCTTGAACCCATGCCAGTTTCCTTTTCCCCCTCCCCCCTTTCTTCCGCCGCCACCAGCCCAACACATACCACTCTGCAGCTCCTAATATAGACCCAACTGGTTTGTAACCAAACAGTCCCTGTCATTCGAGATCTGCTTTTTTTTTCATGGACCAGCAGGATAATGGAGCCTCTTTCACAGGTGCGTTTGTTTACTGAGCTGCCATTGAAAAGGATCATTTGCAGAGGTCGAGTTTTAAGGTCTTTACAAAATCCTTGCCTTGTGTTGTAGGTGTCGTGTTCACCAGAGGAGCCGACGGTGAAGAAACAAGGTACGTTTACATCTGTGCACATGCAGGCATTTGTATATTTCTGTTGTGCTTCACACGTTGTCTGTCTCCATGCTGATGAACTGCTGTGGGTTCTAGAGGCTGACACCACAGTCTACCTGAACTTCATGAAAAGTCACACTTGCTACGACGCCATTCCAATCAGCTGCAAACTGGTCATATTTGATACAACATTACAGGTAAGCCTAGACTTTCCCAATAGAAACATGGACACAAGGGCTGCTCATTTTAACTAAAAAGTGCTCGACTATTTGGCTTTCCAGTAAACTGCAGAGTTACAATCCAGTTAAATCACATCTGTGTTGTATGGAGTTCATCAACGCTTAGCATCCGTGATCAGGTTTTCCAGCCCATGGAGGTTGGAGCGCATCCTTCTTTCCCGTTCTTACAGCCGAAGCAGCACATTAAGATTAAGATCTGAGGAATAAAAGTATTTTTTATTTGCTGAAACTGAACCATGACGCTGGTGTCTGGCTTCACACTCTCTTTCAAGCCACTCGTGGAATTTAAACAGCACTTGCTGTCGACTTTGGTTCTGTTTTCTCTACAGGTGAAAAAGGCCTTTTTTGCCCTGGTGGCAAATGGCCTGAGGGCTGCGCCGCTCTGGGACAGCAAGTTGCAGAGATTTGTGGGTAAGGCTGTGCGTTTCCCCGTCGACAGTGTTGCTTTATGTGGGTTTGTGTAAGAACAGGGCTGTTAACTCCATTTCTTCCACAGGTATGCTGACTATTACTGATTTCATCAACATACTCCACTGCTATTACAAGTCACCTCTGGTGAGCATGAATATACGGCAACTTTGAATAACTTTTAGTCAGTTTTACTTTTTAATTGATGATTGCTATTTTACATTATTGCATATTGTAAGGACGGATGCAGAGAGTGAAACGGAGAAAGCGTCACTTATTTGTTCTTGTTTCCTCCCAAAGGTCCAAATGTATGGACTGGAGAGCCATAAGATTGAAACGTGGAGAGGTGATTCCCTTCAAAGTAAATAACAACCACTAACAATAACATTATCTTGAAGCTAAAGTCTTGCTGAATATCAAATTCAGCTCTCCCTGTTTTTCAATCCAGACGTGTACTTAAAGTCTCCAACTCAGTTCCTCATCAGTATTTCTCCACAGGCCAGGTGAAAACAAAACAAAAAAAAAAAACTCAGAGTAAATTTTCACTGACTTTTCCAGCAGAGCCTCAATTTCCTCTCTTGCGTCCCCTTTTTCCTGCCCAGCCTCTTCGATGCCATCTATTCCTTACTCAGATACAAGATCCACAGGCTGCCAGTCATCGACCCGGAGTCGGGAAACGTTCTCCACATCCTGACTCACAAGCGAATCCTCAAGTTCCTGCATATATTTGTGAGTTGTGTTATTGCTGCTGTTTTCTGAAATAAAATGACAAAAACCAGAAGGGATTTGTGTGGGACAAAAACGTTTTTTTTTTTCATAGCACTGAACTTTACAGTTTCCGGATTTATTTTCAGGGGAAAAATTTGCCCAAGCCTGCATTTCTGAAGAGGCCGGTCCAGGAGCTGGGCATAGGGACGTTCAGGAACATCGCTACAGTCCACCAAGCATCACCGCTTTATGAAGCCCTGTCCATATTTGTGGAGCGGCGAGTGTCAGCACTTCCTGTGGTGGATGGACAAAGTATGCTTTTCAAAGCCAACATTTTGCATCTCCTTGATATTATTTGGCCTTTAGACGGTTTCAGCATTCAGATGCTTGTTTTCACAGGCAAAGTGGTGGCACTCTACTCGAGATTTGATGTCATCGTGAGTACAGCAGAAAAGATTTGACCTAAATCTCTGATTTCGGCCTTTCTGTTGTTTGCTGATTTCTTTTTTTTTAACAGAATCTGGCAGCCCAGAAGACCTACAACAACCTGGACATAACGATGGAGGAAGCCATTCGCAGACGCACGTGTTGCGTTGAGGGTGTGATGAAGTGCTATCCAGATGAGTCTTTAGAAGCGGTTATAGATCGGATAGTTAAAGCAGAGGTTTGTGTTATTTAGGCTGGTATTTTGCCATGAAGTCAAGAGGTCAGGTGTTAAAAAAAACTAACTTTTTCTTCTTCTTCCAGGTCCACCGGCTGGTTCTGGTGGACAGGCTGGATGTTGTGAAGGGTATTATCTCTCTGTCTGACCTCCTGCAGGCTTTGGTCCTCACACCTGCAGGGATCGATGCTCTTCTGTCTTAGGAGGAAATAGAAGAAGTTCCTCTTTTCTGCTTTTCTGCCTTTGCGGGCTTGACGTCTGGCAACGTGCAAAAGCAGGTACACTCTGAAGTTTCTCCACTCTTAGCAACAACCGTCCACCATCTTATTTAGCTCCCATAACCATGGTGTTTGTTTTCATTCATTTCTAAGATGAAAAATATGAAAGATCATGTTTGGGAAGCACCAGATGTAGGTAGTTTGAAAGGAGAGAAGATGGCCAGGCTGTAAGATGATGAGTGTCTCCAATCCCATCTCTCACCAGGCTCCTCACACTGACTCAGTTTGCACAACGCAATCAATGTTTACTCTCTGTAATCCTGTTTATATTCAGTACATGTGAACAGATCCAGATGTTTTTTTTTTGTGTGTGTGTGTGTGTACTGTCACAAACAGCCAGCAGGAACCCACTCTAGTTTTCTTTAACCCACTCTCTTCCCCCACTTTACACGGTAAACAAGAAGCACGTGACCTTTCTCCTTATCTGTGACGACGCTGATGACGCCGCCGCCCATCTGCGCTCCTCCCGTTGAGGGCGTCAAGCTGAAACGATGAGAAGCGACAGCGGAAGTAGATGTTTTTGAGCAAACGTGAATCAAAAGGCGATGTCAACGATTCGACATATATTTGAGTGTTTGTTTATTCGTTATTTTCAGTGCAATTTAACAATTAATCCCAAATGGGAATTTGATAAAAAATAAATGAATTAATTAATAACCTTCTGGTACCATTGTTGCTTTGTAGTAAGTAATGAGGTGTAATAATAATAATGATACTACTACTAATAATAATAATAGTGTTTTGTGATTATTTAATATAATTTCAATTAAATACATGGCATTAATATCAGCAAGTTATTTGTAATGCATATTTATTTTACCAATTAAAATAATTTAAAAAAAATTCAATTGATGAAAAACTTTTTTTTTTCATAAATTGTTTTGGAATTTATGAAGAAGGAAAAAAAAACATGTTTTAAAATTAATAAGGAAATAAACGCTTCATAAATTGTTTTGGAATTTATGAAGAAGAAAAAAAACATGTTTTAAAATTAATAAGGAAATAAACGCTGTTTCATTAATGGAAGAAATAATTTGTTTCAGTGTCCCTAATGCTCTTCCGTAGATTTACTTTTGAATTTGTGTACGTTTAAAGCATCTCGCCAGTCTTCTAATCTTTGATTGCTTCTGAACTTTTTAAGTTTAGATTCAGTGTCTTTTATTTTGAAGGGAGTCATCCGGAAACTGTAGCTTTCATTGAGCGTGTCGTCTTGACAGACCGTTCCATATACCCCGTGATCTCCAAAACAACACAACAAAAGTGGGGAAAAAACATGGCGAGCGGAGAGGAGGCCACAAAACGCCCCTTGGTAACCTCCTCTTCGGTCGGCCTGGAGGATCTGTTCCCCGCCGGGACCTCGGAGCAGGCGTGCGGGGACGGGAACCCGGAGCTCGATCGCTTGCGGGAGCGTCTCCAAGCCTGGCTGTCGCCGTACGAGCCCCTGCTGCTGTGGGTGCAGAGGCTGCTGGTCTGGGAGAGGCCGCTGTATAGCGTCTCAGCCGCCCTGACTCTTAACACTTTATTCTGGTAACGAACGAGCCTGCGTTTATCCGCGTTTTAGCAATGAAACGGCTTTTAATCGCATTTTAAGCTGATGTCAGCGAAGGTAGCACGAATAAATGTCAAGTGAAGTTAGCTAATCCCACGTCTTTAGCCTAATGCTAACTTAGCTTGTAATTTAAATACAGTCAGCACAGGAAGCTTTATCTGTGTCTGTTGAGTAAATAAATGAGTTGTTTCCCATTGAAACACCTGCTGCTGCTCTAACAGTCGTTTCTTGTCCGGCTGCGTGTCGGAGCTGCGGACCAGCTGTCAGTGTCAGACTCGCTTGGCCCCGACGCCGTGAACGCATCAGCGACTTCTAAAGGTCTGTGTTTGGCTCCACAGGCTCCTGTCCTCCACTTCCCTGCGGCCCCTGTTCCTGCTGAGCGTGTCCCTGCTGGGCCTCATGCTGCTGGAGAGATGGAAGCCCAAGTTACCCATCATTACAAGTGAGCTCAGGTCTAACTGCTGTTATTACTGGGTTGTTTTGGACCTGGTTCTGGGCTGTTTCACTGTCTCCACACTCCACAAGGCAATAATATATCTGGGTAATGGCTTGGAACCTCAGGCAGATGTCAGGGGTCCAGATTTTTCACATTGAGGGAAATTTGTGGTGATGGAGTTTGTTTTTTTAACTTTGGAGAGGCTAAGTAGCTGTAAAGAAAACTATATTTTGTTGCCATGGTTACACATCAGAACTGTCATAAAGTAAATAGTGCAAATGCAAAGACTTGATGGGATCATTGCACAAACTAATTAAAGGGGACTTGTTTTTAAGTTGTTTCCCTTTTCGGTCGTTAGTGCTTGTAATCCACTGTAGTTACGTAATTCCCATATCTAAAAGTGAGAAGTATGTAGCAAATCTCCAGCTTTAATTTGAGTTCTTAAAGTCTCGATAATTGCGATCAGGAAGAAGTTGAGGGTGAAGGGGGGGAATAAATGTGAAAGCTTAGAGACCTAACAAACCGGCACCCTACGGCTGGATTTAAACAGATCCTTTGAAGAGCACTGTGAGTCCACCACTGTGACATTTGTCCTGCATGCTTCAGTGTCATTGTATTTAAGAAGTTTGTTTGTTAAAATAAATTATTTATCTAACAACGAATCACATAAACTGCACCAGATTAAGGTAGCGTTTTACTGAGATAAGAGAATAATTCTTGATTTCTGATTTGAAAATAAGAAATCTGGATGAAACTAACGTCGAAGGCACCGATCTGAAAAATTAAGACATTTTTTATGTTTCTTCTTTATCCCTGCAGTTCAACATGCTGAGGCTGAACCTGCACAAAGGTCTGCTTAAAATCACATTTTCTGTGTGTTTTCAGTTTTTCTTTTAAGAAAACAATTTGTCGTTTTTATCGTCCACTTCTGTATCCGTCAGTGCATGAGGACGATAGCTTAGCACGTTCATATTTCAGGCTGCAGGTTAAGGCAGATTTATTTTCTGCAGAGGTGTTAATTTTCTCTTTCTCTGCACGCCTTCTTTTCTTTTCAATTCAAGCCCAACTTTGAGTTCGGAGCATCATCTGCTCAGCGTCCCGGAGCTCAGCCACCACCTCGCCGAGAGCTACGTGACCTGCTGCCTGTATCTGCAGGAGATGCTGCAGTACAAACACAGAAACCATGGAAGGGTGCGCTCAGACACAAAATCCATTTTAACCAAGGGAATTTGTGCAAATATTTCTAAAACGTTGGTTATAAAATCATTTCTCTGGTTCCCAGTTCTGCGCGATGATGTGCAGCGGCTGCTTTGTTCTCGCTCTGGTTGGTCATTATGTGCCAGGAATCATGATTTCATATATCATAGGTGAGTCATTTTGTGTCTAATTGTCATGCAGAAACACAGTCGAGCTGTCTGGTTGTCGTGATGAACTGCCTGCAGGATAATGAGTAAATGCAGTGTTGATAACAATCCTGTTAGTAGGGAGAAAAAAACAAGTGTACAATGCAGCTTTTAAACTGCTGGTTTCCTTGTAGATCACTTATTATTCATTTCTGTCGACATTTATTTTCATATAGTTATATATGTGACAGAGGTCCTATTTCGTATCTCCTCAAAATGGAAAAACAAGCAAACATGCCTTCAAACTAAAACATACATGTGTCAGTTTTCATAAGCTTTGTGAAAATAGCCACTTGCCTTAATTGCACAGTCAGATCAATAAGAGGCTGCTGACTTGGCTTTATCAGGGGTTGTTATTAATTCCGAAGGCACTGTTGGCTTTTCCCTCCCTTCTCTGCAGCATCTTGCTTTATTAAATGTGTACAGAAAGTCCTTTAAATGAATAAATCTGTGGATGTTTTTTCTTCATGTGTGCATATTCTCAGCCCTAAGCGTGCTGCTGTGGCCCCTGGTGGTGTATCATGAGCTGATCCAGAGGATGTACACCGGCTTGGAGCCGATTCTGATGAAACTGGACTACAGCATGAAGGGCGACACTGAGCACCGGAAGCACGACAAGAGGAGTGAGTGTTTGTTTTGCTCTTTTCTAATAGAGTGTCATGTATTATTTATTGCATTGATGTGTGTAAATACTTTCCACAGAGGTAAAAAAGGAGCTGGAGGAGGGGGATGAGCCCAGAGCAGAAACAGAAAGTGAGAGCGAGGAAGAGGAGGAAGAACTGTCCTGTTTTGCTCCAACGGTATGGACTCGTACTACACAGAAGCTACATATATATGGAAATGTTAAAGGAAGCAGGAGAAAAGTGGAGCTTGGATATATTTTACGCTGAAATCAACTCAGTTGTGAAATCGAGGGGTATAGTCAGTGTCTTCTATTCTGGTGTTTCAAGTCCGACTACATTCCTGCACCTGGAAGGTGTGTGAGGGTGTACTTAGTTTCAGGATTGTTCCTGGATCGAAGTCAGAGTGCTTAGCAGTTACTTAAGCTCCTGGATTAATTTACTTTAAGTCTCACTGATGTTGCAACCCGGCATCACCACAGAAGAAGTATTTTCTTTTTTTTCCGTCAAAAGTTGAAGGCAAAGGCGAGATTCACCTTTAAACTTTCTTTGTTCATTTGCTTGTGTTATTGCAAGGTGGATGTGAAAACGACAGCTCTGGCAATGGCCATCACAGACTCTGAACTGTCAGATGAAGAAGCGTCCATATTGGAGAGCGGAGGCTTCCCCGTCTCTAGGGCCACCACGCCTCAACTGACTGATTTCTCTGAAGGTAAGTCTGACTCTTTCAGTCAGTTCTGCAATTATTTTAGAAATTAATTAATACATCAATTATTCTGACAATGAACGATGAGATGTTTGCTTCGAAGAAGGAACTAAAAATCAGGTTGGTAGAATTCTTCAAGTAGTGAGAGATTTGTGTCACTTCTCTGATCCAGACCTGGACCAGCAGAGTTTCCACAGTGACCCAGAGGAGGCCTTCCTGCGGGATCTTCCTGAGTTCCCCTCCGTTGATGAGTTCCCCTCCATAGAGCACAGTCTGCTTCACTTCCCCCCGCGAGTTCAGGCCGATGGCGGCCAGTCGGAGAAGGAACCGCTGAGTCCCGCCACGCTCCTCATCCAGCATCTGGCGTCGCCTCTGCACTTCGTGAACACGCATTTCAACGGACACGGGCGGCCACCAGGGGGCGAGGAGGGTGCCCTGCCAGCAGCTGGGGTAAGAGAAGAGGTGGAGGAGAAGGCGGCGGTGAGTCAAGGCACGCAGCGCTCCTTGGAGGCTCTGAGCGAGGAGATAGTGAGCACGGCCATCTCCACCGTCGTGCAGAACACTCTGTCTGCGCTGCTGCGCTCCGGCGAGGATCCCTCCCTGGCCGACTTCCTCCCGACCGAAACCCTACCGGGCGCTCTGGAGTCACCCAGCCAGTCCGCCGACACTACAGTGGGAGTCCCGGATCCGGACAGAGACCCAGAGGACGGGGCTACGACGACAGAAAGGGCTGCTGGCGAAGAATACCCGGATGACACTCTAGTAGCAACTGAGGAAGAGGACTTTGAGCTTTTGGACCAAAGCGAACTGGAGCAGGAGGACGAGGGTCTGGACAGACAGGTGGGCGGGGCAGATCCAGGTCCAGACGCACCTCAGCAACAACAGTCATAGCCCCACTGGTCCCCCTTCCATCTGCTTTTGCTTTGATTTGTACATCATATCCATAAAATCCCCAAATGTATAAATATATATGTCTTTCTCTCTGTTTAATAGTGATACTCCATTCAGTGAAACAAAACTCTACTGTACCTTTTAAAGGGGACGTATTATAGGATATTTTATTGAAGAGCTGCCCATTCTAATGCGTTTACAGTCGAACTTCTTCCATTTTCTTTACAAAATTAAAAGCTGGTTCTGATTAACCAGCAGCCAGCACTTTGTAGAAAAGTTCAAATTTCTAACATGTTACGGAAAAATTCCTAAATTATCCTGTTGACATGCAGGGCAAGTCAGAGGTTTACTCATCATGGGAAAGAGTTCTGTCAGTCTTTTTCTTTTTGTTAAGTTAGAATAACAATACTGCTTTTTTTTTCTTTCTTAAAGAGAACAGGAAGAACTTTAAATTTTTAAAAGATTTTCTCTAATCCATGTTTATATTTTTTTAAAGAGATTGTCATGGAGGGAAACAAAATTAAAAGATGCTTCTGCGTAGCCAGTTTCTCAACTGCTGCAGTAAATGAGACACTGTTACGCCAATATCCATGCTGTTACATAAACATAGACGTTACTTTGTTTAGAAACGTATTTAAATTTGCCTTATAGTTGATTCCAGAAGCATTTTCCAATGCAGAACAACTGTCCTGTTGCATGGACACCACTGGATGTTTGTTACTTTTCATTAGTCCTGTCTTCATTCTTTTTGTCCACCAACTCTAGTGGCAATGAGACCACACCATGATGCTGCCACCACCGTGCTTGACCTATGGAACCATGGAGTTTAACGAAACTGCTTCCCATGATGAGTGTGTCTGAACCATAAATGTGTCCCCTGGTTGCGACGGTACAGTAGAGGTTTGTGTCGTTTTCCTCCTGAATGTCTGAGGCAGAACCTGAGTGAAGGATTATCGGTTACGGGTTGTGTTCGCCTGGCAACCAGAATCTGGCTCCTGATGACAGTAGCTAATTCCCTGAGTCCGTCCCCGAGCATAAGTTTGTCAGAAGGTAAAAATGATGGATTTAGATTTATAACTATTAATATATGCTATAAATTATTTAAATTAACAGCCAGCTAGTATAGAAAGACTGAACGTTTATTTTTATCCTTTTGGCTACCATATTAATTGTATATAGGTGTTTTAATGGCACGGTGTACATGCAGATGTAAATTGTAGGAAAATTACATGAATCCTTTACTGAACCTCTGCATTTTCGTTAAAAAAAAAAAAAAAAAGAAAATTTTTTTTAGTGACTCGTTGCCTGAAAATTGCAGCTTTGTCATTATTGGATGTTATGAATATAGAAATGGCACACAAGTGACTTTTATGCGTGGTGAAACAGAAGAAGGATGCAATTTTTTTTTCTATTGTCATCTGTACATAATTGGTCCATTTGTGACTGAAAAAAAAAGTAATATAGGCCCTACATGTGTATAGCTGTCACTGTTTGTTACTGTTCATGCATGCGGTGTATTTCGCATGTAGGATAATTTTATTTTCAGGGGACTTAGCCTAATTTTTTTTGGGTTTTTTCTTCCTTTTCTTGTAACGGCTCGGTAATTATTACAACAATTTGCTCAGAAGTGATCGAGTCCGTACGGAGGGGCCTTCTCTGCTTTCATAAACGACTCAGCATCCGACTCAGGTTGTACAAAAGCGAACAAGACGCAGTGGAATATGTCTCCGTTTCCTGACCGGTCGTAGTGCATCGTATTTCTACTAATCTCTGATCTGTTTTCTCCCAGTTGCTAATAGTGTAGAAATGCAAAAAAAAAAAAAAAAAAAGATGGGAAGTGTATTTTCTGCATGTAAAAACAGCACTCTGTTCAAGTTTTCCTTGTCTTCAGACAAAGTACTGCACAACTTGTGATGGGGAAAAAACCCCCGAAAAAAACAAACAAACCATTGAATGCTTCAGGTGAAAAGAGGTTCAGTTTGATATTTTGTTACTAATGATGGAAATAAAAGTTTAATGTTTAAAGACTTCTATACATGGAGATGGGCTGATAAAGTCATTTTATGTTTAGCGACTATAAAAAGTGACATTCAACAATTATAAGGAAGAAAAAAAAAATATTTTTTTTTTATCTTTCCTTTATCCAAAGTTCTCTGTTTAATCTTTTATGTCTAAATGAACAAATCTGTTGCAGATCGTCTTTGCAAAGCAGAACCGATTTGACGTTGAACGTGGCAAAAGGAAAACTTTAACCTTCACTTTTGTGACGGTAGAAGAAGACAAGGACAAACTGAAACCGAACGAGAAGGAATTGACCAAACATTTTATTTGTTTTCGCATCTTTCATTCAGGATCTTCAAATTGCATTTCCTTTTCCTGGAAAACAGAAAGAAAACACTGTTAAGTTGGGACTGTATGTAAAAACATGTTTCAGATCGTCAAAAAAAACAACATAAAAGAGAGCCTCAATGCAGTTTTAAACAATATTGAGTCAACAGTAGGTCAATTTTTTTTGTGTTTGCCAAACCTTCAGCAGTTCATCTGCACAGAGCTGGAGTTCCTCCAACATCTTTTCATTAATATTCACATCCTCCAGAAGAGACCATTTGCCGTTCGTACATGTAGCTGGAGCTGAGATGATGATGCCTTCTGGGAGATCGTAGAAGTCTAAGTACAGAAAGTTGCAACGGTATTCATATCAACGCACGTTTCACTTTCCTCCTGCTGCGTAAATCTGTGCGCCCGAGTCCTAACCTGAGGAAGCTATACCGAGTGAAAAAAACGCATCTGGACCAGACACTCCGTGCCAAGTCTGCAGCACTTCCAGGATCCCGTTAGTGGCTGATATTGCGGCTCCCCGGCTGGTGTTTGAAAACAAGGCCTCCCGCTGCTGATGGACCAGTGGCTTAAATTCTTTTTCTATCCATTTTCTGGAACAAAAGGAGGCTTTTAGTTATTGTTTTGCTTCGTTGCACATTATGCATGCGATCATTTCGGCCATATTGTAAGGCAGGCGGATTGTGCTGACATTGTTTGCACAGGCTGATTTTCAGCCGATAGCTGGCAGATGCACACTCTTAATGGGGTGGAATCAAAGAAATGTTAATTCATTTCTCTATGATTTCTTATAATTTAGATAATTATTCAGTACAGCTAATACAGGCCTTATTCACTTTTTTCCCAATGGCACATTTGATGGCCAATCAAGGTCAATAAAGCAGCCACTGCACTTTTTCCTTCCACTCAACTTTTCTTTTACACTGTATTTAATGATCCTACATTAAAAAGAAAACGGATTGTTGCAAAACTCGCTGGAATCTTGTCAAACCTGTCGAATAAAACCCCGAGGACTGGCTGGGAAAAGTTTGGCGGTACCCTGACCGCCCCTGGATAGTTGAAAACTTCCGCCCACCGCAGGTCGATGATGAAATTGCCGCTGATGTTCCCCCACACAATGACATCCGCGATATCTAAAGCAGAGGAAGATCAAATTAAGATAATTTGTTTCTTGTTACTTTTCTTTTTTATGCAGAAGAAGTAGAGTCGACACCTGAAGGCATCACGCACAACTTCTTTGCGAGCACGACTCTGACTTCATTCACCAGCTGGGTTGCGATGGCAATAAACTGGTGGCTGTTGATGGAAGGAGCGTTCTCCATGAGCAGCGAGCATCTCATGTTGATGAAAGACACCCCGGCCACCATCACCTTCACCTCTTTGTTGGCGCGTTCGTCAATGAGGCGCCCGTACTCTCTGTAGCGCTCAGATACGTCTTTAACTTTCTGCTTCCTGGCCTTGTCGCTCTGTTCCTCTGAATCTGAATCAACACTGAAATCATTGAAATCGTCCAGCAGGATGATGACGTGTGCTTCATGGAAAGCCTGTCCCAGATCTGTGTGCACCGTCACCTGTGAAGTCACTGTGTCGGATTACATTTTTAAATCTGCGCGACAAAATTGCGTCGAGGCGACGTACCCGGTAGAGCAGACGGAGTGCCAAATCCTCGATGTCCATCTTGAGCATCTGCATTTCTTCCTCGTCTCCGCTCAGGTGCAGCAGATGGATAGCGACCGTTTGAGCGTCCGGGAACGTCTCATTGGACAGAAGGAAGGGGATCAAGATTTGGGATGTTAAGCAGAGAGCGCTGCAAGAAAACAAGACAGAAGAAATATTAAGGCAAACAGATTGAAGGGGTATTTCCATTTGAAACATTCATCCTGACTCACCCTGTGATCCACACGTTACAGGGACGAATTAGACTCAGGCGATGCTGTTCTTCAGCAAGAAGGCTAAGTTGTGTTTCAAGGTTCTCTGCTACAATTCTCTCCAGCTCATCTTCGGGTATTTTTGACGTGACGCCGTAGTAGACCTAAGCAACAACAATCAACAATTGATTTAATCCGAAGATTAATTCTTAACATATCCACGGAGTTTGAAACGACCCTTTAAAACACAGGTGTCAAACTCAAGGCCCAAGGGGTCAAGTCTCGGAAGGAGATTTAATATAGTTAATAAAATAGTAACAGTAGTAGAAAAGTTAATAGGTGATTTGTATGTTTCACCAGAGAACATGTCCGTTTCTACCTTGCAATGGTCCACAAAGTCATTGTAACCACCCAACAGCATCCCTTTGCCCCCTTGTTCCACCAGCTCCCTCCAAATGATGGGACTTTCCTCGTGTTTCCAGCCATTTTTATTGCATGTGATTTCAAGCCATTTCTGTGAGAAGAGTAACAGCGGAAGTGTAGAGACAAATAGGGAAGGATGAGCAAGAGTAAATAAAACACAAGAATGGTGGATTAGATTAGAAATAACATTATTGTCTCTGGAAATCTGGAAATTGACAGTCAAACCGAAGCAGATTCACACCGAGATGAAAGTATAAAAACATAACTGAGATTATGATTACAAATATTTGGCAGAATATGAATGTATATTAAGACTACTTTTAAGAAATGGTGTGGGGGTGGGGGAACAGTATAAATAATAGTTGGGACTGTTTTTGAGTTTTTTGGGGAACAAATCTCCAAAAGTCAAATATGTGCTCCAGAAAATGTCGCCTGTAGGCTTCCGTAATGGATAGCATAGTTCTCTCTTTTCATTTATTACAAGAAAGGCGCTACAGATCACATTAAAACCTTGTAAAATGGTAGAGGCATAACCACCTCCCACTCTGATGGCAGGACGGGGATCTTATGGACCCTGAATCTCGGAAGGGTTCGCTGGAGAGTGTCTGCTAACCGCTCCGCTTCGGCATACAGAGGACAGTCCGCCTTACCTGTAGCAGTTGAACATTTTTGATACGTCCTTCATGTAACTATTATCATGAAAAATGCATTGTAAAACGTAAAATAAAATGAGATGAAGGATTACCAGCGAGCACAAATTTCGCCATTTCACAACGTACTGTCACATCTTAACCATTGAAAACAGAAGGCGTCCGTTGCTCGGCAACCGAGATGAGTTGTTGCGTATATTTGAATCCGTGTAGAAACATTTCTCCTAAATTCTTAAAATATATTTGTAAAAAAGAGTTTCAGATTTCAACACGTGAAAGTAGACATAGTTTCTAATATCAGCATATATTGTTTTTTAGGATTTATTATTTCACGTACTAGATTGACGTACAGAGAAGATTTTTCGTTTTTTTAAAAAGAATTTCAGAAGAAGAAGAAGCGAGGTCGACGTTGCTAGGGGGACACAATACTGCAGCGCACGCGACTTCAACCTACACATGGGAATGAACGCTAACACGAGTTAGGCAATATTTATCTCATTTTGTAGCGTTATTCACCGTCACTAAATGAATATTTCTTTTCGACTCTTTATGGAGTGACACGTGCAACGCCGACAGAACATTGTTTGCTTTGTATGCGGTTGTGTTCCGTTGAAAAGGGGGGAAGCTAACGAGGGCTAGCTTGTCATTTCATAACTGGAGGGAAGCATTTTGACCTTGTTTCCCGAATACTTTGGTCTTTCCTACTAACAGATCATTTCTTGTGCCTGGTTTCTATTTTAGAGTGTTACTGACTAACATAGGAAAATTGTGACGTGTTGCCTCTTTACGTGTCAGCATATCAACCTGTATATTATTTCAAACGAGAAACAAAAAAACTGTCTTATTTAGATGTTTAGGTAATTAAACTCAGTCTAATTACACAATATGACTATATGGGTGACAAGTGACATCATCAAATGGTCACTGCGCCTTTGCTGCCACAGGTTTCCATGGAAACGGTCTAGTTTCCCAGTGCTGGCATCAATTAAAGATTCCTCTTTATCTAGAAATGGATTTACAGGTTTCTGGGGCGGAAGGATGAACCAAAGCCGCCTTTCTGGGAGTCTTAGTACCACGAGGTTCTATTCCTGTGGCGAGAAGGACAGTGAAGATCTAAAAGGCAGCAACAGTATCACTACAGAGAATTCACTTTCGACTGATGAACTCCACAAGACCTCCTCAGAGCAGAGATGGAGGATTTCCCCTTTCCAAGAACTCCTGAATCGCTGCAACTCCCCGTCAGACGTGTTAGACCTCACATCCAAGTACGCGCCCACAAATCGACAAGTCAGCGACTGCCTCAGCCGCATGTGGTTCTCCACAAAGAAGCTGTCGGACGAACAGCGGCGCTACGAGTTGCAGCTGATGTTTGAGCATCCTGAATTTGAAAATCTTCTGCAAAGGGCGACGAGGTCTGCCCAGTACATGAGTAACAAGGACGTTGCCTACTCCCTTTTGAGTATGGTCAACTTGGGGGTGGCTCAGCGCAGCCACGTAATCCAGACCTTCCTTCGAACTTGCCAGGTGAGCAGTTGGAGATTGTCTTCTTCGATTTAAAGACCCTCTTTTGATTCCATGTTGACCCTAATTTGTTTTATTCACAAACAGGAGAGACTGAATGACTTTGACGAGAAAACGCTGTCCATGTTGGCCTCTGTTCTGGAGCGAATGAAGGCTTGTCAGAATGTGGATGCTTTAAAGGAAGGCATGAGGTGACACTTGATATTTTAATTCAAGTATTAGGTAAAGTCAGTTGATTTTTAAGCTTATTTTACAGAGTTTTGTTGTACTTCAGGCTGGTTGTTGAGGCCCGTCTTCCTGAGATTCAAAATGTTTTGGCTCTCCAGACCATGATGCGACTCCTGGGAAGAGATGCTCCAATAGAGCTCAAACAGAAACTAGAGGTAAGTTTGAGTCTTCACCACTTTAGGTTTTATGATTTTTTTCTTAATTCTCTTAATTGTTTATTGAATTGATAAATAAATGAATGTACAGCACCATGCAAATCTATTCTTTCTTGTTGAAATTTTGTTTTTACATTTATCCACTTTACAGCATATTATATTAATTCCAGCATATTAATTTAGATAAATCATCAGTGATTTTCACAGACTGAATTTACAATAGTGATATTAAGTGAATATGTTTGCAGCTTTAATTTCACTATCGTTTTCCAGGCAAAATGTTGAAAAATTTCAAAACCGACTGTTTTGTGAAGCACTGTATGTGTTATTTTCTGCCTGGTCAGATTTTCTGTACCTCATGTGTTTCAGAGAAAGGCTTTGTCAATGACTGACCAGTTCAGCCTCCCCAATGCCCAACACATGATCTTCACCATGGACATTATGGGGTTCCACTCCAAACCACTGCTGAAATTTTGTAGTGATAAAATCAAAGGTGACACCTTAACCACAAGGAAAGACTTGTGAATCACTTGAACTGTTGACAAACTGAAAAGATATGTAGGAGATATATTCACTGATACTTAATGTGTATTTTCTTTCTATTTTTGTGTTTTCTGATAGACAACCTTCATAATATTCCTTTCAACATACTGTACAACATACTGCAGTCCTATAAGGACCTTCTCTACAGAGACACAGACCTGTTTACTAGCATTTCCGATTATGTTGCCTCCACATTTGACATGTGGACCAATAAACAGGTGCTGGAAGAGACATTTACATTCTAATCTTTATTTGTTGACATTTGTGGAAAATATATATATATATATTGCCAATCATATTCAGTTGCATAATAATATACCCTCTTTTTTTCAGCTGGTCTTCTTCCTGTCTGTATTTAAGGACCGTCACTTCTGTCCTGCCTCCTTAATGGAGCTTTACACTGAAAAAGTTATTGCCAACCCTGAAGCGCTCAACCTGAAAGACCTCCTGTCTGTCATAAAGGTTTACTCCTCGCTTAACTACGATCTGCGGCATCAAAGACAGGCGTAAGTCACCAACCGTTCCTTAGCAATGCGAATTGTCTGAGTTTTAAGTTCAGGTGTAGACTAATTACCAGTTTAATGTTCAGAGAGAAGTCCAAGATGTGATGAATTAGGAGAAGGTGCAGATTTGTTCCTCTGGTGTCTTGTACCTGGATCACTACCTGGCCACTACAGTTATTCTGGAAACAAAACCAGGGTTTTAAGAAGTATATTTTAATAGTTTTATTGTTTTGGACATTAACTTCTGTTCATATTGTCAAAACAAAAAAATCCTTGAGGTTAAAATGTCTATAAATGTAATGTACACACTCACAGCAGTCACCAAGCTCTTACCATTGAGGAAAAAGGCTATGCGGCTCTGCATGTTGTAATTAGAATTTTCTCCAATATAATAATTAATATTTTATTAAATTGTGCATGTAGAGCACAGTTCAATAATCCCAGGATGAGCTGCACCCAGTTCAAGCTGCTCTGGCAAAACAGTCGCATAAATTACCTATTTTGTTCCGTTTAGTTTTTCATAAAATGAAGATGGTTGCTGTTTTTCATATCTTTAGGTTTCTTGATAGTCTCAGCCATGCTCTCATCTCCTATCTGCCCAAAATGTCTGGCCTGGAGTTGCTAAAGAGTGCCTACTACCTGTGTGGGATGAATCACTTCCCATCTGCTCTCCTGGAGCAGCTCCTGAGTAGCAGCACGCTGGAGCAGCTAGCATGTAAGGACAATCAACCCATTGTCTGATAAGTGAGGCTGTATTTCATTTGCGTGTTTGATTTTGCATTTCCAAATTAAACTATTTTCTTCTCAGCTTCAAGTTTCACAAAGAGCAAGGAGAAAATGTTTCAGAGAGTGGACATATGTCTCCGTCTGGACTGTCCTCCTCTTCCTCAGCCCTTGATTGTCCCCCTGTCCGTCCTGGGGAATCCCACTCCCTACCAGTTGGTTAACCCGCTCCTCTCAAAGAGCCTGCAGCGTGTGGTGGCAGATCAGGCGAATGCATCTCTGCAGGAAATGTTGGTGGTAGAGAACTTCTACATCATAGGTAAAGATCTGGTCTTGGCGGAAAGACGTTGGTGTGCACGAACTGGTTCAACACACGCGTTTTTATGTTTGCGCTTTCAGATGGTGTTGTAACCAAACCTCTTCCAAGCCAGCCGCGTGTGTCGGAAACGAGTAGCATTTCCCCAGCAGAGAGCAGTCAAAGGTAAGGAAATGGCAGCAGTAGACTGGTTGGTCTCACAATAAGCCCAGCTTTTTTGCAAATCTGCAGTCTGTGATAGGTTTTTCCTTTTTTTTGGTAAATGCTTATGTCATATTTGGTAAGGTTTGCTATGAAAGCAGGTAATGAGGATGTTTCCAGGTAATGATATTCGCTGTGATTTCTCACGCGCAACTGCTGCTCTCATAACGGTTTACGGCAACAAAGTCCAAACATGTGAAGTTAGACGCCTTAGACAATTAAATGTCCAAATAGATTTCCATTTTATGGCAATATGTTGCATATTTCCATAAATACTTGGGTAAACACAGTAGAAGATACAAATGTAGTTTTTTGTCGGATCATATTGGTATGAATATTTGGGTCATAAAGCTTTTTTAGCACTTGTGAACATGAGTTTATTTCAAGCCTTATTTATAATTTAACTTTATATAAGAATACAAGCATTAATAAAATCAACAATAAAATCTCAGGAAAGACTTTCAGATGACTGCTGAAATGTTTTCTGATTCATTAAAAAGCAAAAACTTCAACAAATTAAAAATCCTGCTTGGAACAAGCAAAACTAGACATAAAACTCTAACCAAAATAAAAGAAAAAGGGAATAATCAAAGGAAACACACTAATAGGATTAATCTAGGGAAACTACTTAGAAAGGGTTTTAAAACACCCAAGAATTGTTGCATAAAGATCATGCAAAATGTAAGTAATTGTGCTGAAGAAGTTTCTTGATTTTTTGTTTTCTCCCTCCAAGATAGCCAGACCTCGGTATCCAAATGTAATTATTTTGTTTTTGTTAAAGCTGACATGTCTTTTTGTCATGTTCTAGACTTGCTGTTATATATACTCCAAACTCAAGTTTTTGCTTTGGTACGTTACACCCCCGTGGACCCCTCGCTGTCCAGATCCGTCATCTGAAGATTTTGGGATACACTCCTGTCTTGGTGAGACTTTTGTCTTATTTTACCCATAAATCTTCCCCGGTGTCTCTCAGTAACAGTTTGGTTACTT